AGCATGTAGAATTTCTAACAGCCAGCCAGCAATTGCAGAGCCAATTTTTAGAGAAAAAACCTAAACTATTTATACTTTTTTTACATATTAAAATACCTATTTTACGGTAAATGCATCAAGCTGAAGCCATTCATTAACTTCGCAGTCAAGATAGTTGCACTGGAATTAATCCTCCACACACATTTAAGTGATGGTCCAATCACGGAACAGCCGACACAAGAGTCGGTTTTTGTGCCGTCAGTATAAAAGCTGGTGTGGCCTTTATATGTATTTTGTAGCTGAAAGAATTCCTGCTTTAAGACTTCTGGCGGTGTATTTCCCTTAGTGTACTCAGTGAGTGACAAGTCTGTGATGAGCAAACTGCTCCCATGGTGCCACTGTTCCCGAAAGCTAAGCAACAGGTGGGTTCATCTGAAGGCTAGCTGAAACAGCCGCGGTTTTGTTCCGCAAAGAAAAGGGAAGCTTAACAGCGGGCTTACTTTGGAAGGTTCGTTCAAAACGTGTTCTCTCAACTAGTTCCCGACACGGATGTTGTACTACAGACCGTATCCTAAGGGAATACATTAGACCTAGGACATCTCGCCTTTTCTCTAGACATTTCATTAGCTTCAGCGTAGAGGCTCAGCACAGGGGATGTACGGAACGCACCGGTGGCAAGTCGGATCCCTGCGTGATGGATTGAACCCAACATATTCAGTGTTGATGCACTTGCTGATCCATACACCAAGCACCCATAATCTAGGCGTGACCGCACAATCGACCTATAGATTCTTAGAAGGCACAGTCAATCGGAACCCCAAGTCATGTGGTAGAGAACTCTCAGGATATTAAGAGATTTATGGCATTTTTGTTTTAGCGTTTTGATATGCTGGCTAAAAAAGAGCTTGGAGTCGAATATAAGCCCTAGAAACTTATACTTTGTTTTTATCTAAACTGGTGCACTGTATATGGTCAACGAAGGCGTCGGCATCACACCACGTTTTCGTGAAAAACAAACACAAGCAGTCTTCTCCGTGGAGAACTGAAATCCGTTATTGTCAGCCCACCTTGTCACATTATTAATAGTCAGTTGAACACGCCTTCGCAGATTGAAAGGTTACATGAGGAAACCATTGTGACGACCCCTGTAGGGGAGGCCCAGACGCGCTGTGGGGGGCTCATGCTGAGGTGAGGAGAAACGCGGCGAAAACGATATCTCCGATTACAGTTTAATAATAGTGCTGGAAGTAGGTGCTGGTGCCGCCTGCAGGTCACCGAGTGTCGAAGAGTTCTGAAGGTAGTGTCCCGGGCTCTCCGTCACTGGCGGTGCCTGGGCGAGGTTGCCGAGGGGCTCACTGGGCTCAGGAGCTGGGAGTGTTGGCACCAGCGGGTGGCCTTGCCCTGGGTGCGGTCTGGGCTTCTCAGGGTTCGGAGGTCTCGGGAGCTTGGGGCGCCGACGCCGGTCTTCACCTCGTACACTCTTTTTGCCGCGCTCTCTGCAGCGCGCTTCCTGGCACCTTTCCCCCACGCGTCTCCCTGCTGCAACTGCTCTTCCCCCGATGCCTCCAACATCCTCCCAAAGACCGGTTTCTCCAGTCTCCTTCTCTTCCTTCGTCTCCTCCGATCCTTCGACCAGTTTTTCCCTCTCTCCCCTGGGCCGTCACCGGAGGTGGCCTTCCCGCATCCCGTGTTTCGCATATTGCCACCACAAACGTCAGAACCGCCCCACTTCAAAAGAATTTCCTAAAAAAAAAATTCTGGACTTCAGCACCCAAAATATTTTCCGAAAAGAATCGCACGCCCACACACACAAGACGCATCAATGATACATGAGTGGCAGTACAAGCCACGCCAGCATTGCTAAGATTTACAGGTTAACCCTGGATATTATCATGCAATAGCAGGCGCTCCCAGACGGTGGTAACTCACGACCAATGAGGGGAAACAAGAAATGCAAAAAGTCAACCCTGACACATCAGAAATGGCCATTATCCACTCTAGAATTTGCTCGCTGCTGGTGATGTCTGCACTCAACGGTCTATTCTCGGCTCCTGAGCGAATACCCGTGCCGCACAACCGGCGTCGGCCCGTCTGGTGCACCCGAAAGGGGGCCGATACGTGTCCCCATGGTGGTGCTACCCGGTGAAGCCCCTGGAGGTATCTGTGCGAGGTTTGGCGTCTGTTGGCCCTCCAACATGATATGAGGAATGCCTGCATGCCGGCTACCTCCTACCCCTTGCATTGTTTCAGCGTCAAGACAGAAAAAGTGGGCCGGCTTCAGTCTATTTACATGAACTATCTTCTAACGCCCGTGGATCTGCCGGATCCTACAGGTGATGTTAGAAAGCTTCTCTACTATGCGAAAGGGTCCACACCACTTGGGCGTGAACTTCCGAGCTGTTCCTTGTTTGTACACTTCCACCTGCAGATAGACGGGGTCACCTACTTTAACTGAGGGTTTACGCTAACTTTGTCATGGCGTGTTTTTCTTGCCGCTGCCGCCTGAACGAGCGCATCCGACGCCATTCGGTGCGACAGACAGGCGCTGTACGAGCTCGGCTATGTGATTGTCGAGAGTACCGTAGTTTGTCGTGGGCTCCATGCAGGCCAGGCTGGGTACCACCGCATCTCTTCCGTAGAGCAGGAAGAAAGGCGACTCCCTCGTCCCCTCATGGACTGCGGTGTTGTAGGCGAACAGTGCAAATGGAAGCCATTGGTCCCAATCGCGCTGGTCCTGTGCCACGAAGTGCCCGAGCGTTTTGATGACGGTTTCATTGAGTCTTTCTACAGCCCCGTTACATTCTGGGTGATATGCGGTCATCTGCAACTTTGCGATCCCCAGTGAGCCGTGACATGAAGTTCACACCCTGGTCACTCAAGAGTTGTTTGGGCACGCCGTGACGCAGCACAACACTCTCAACGAACATTCCAGCGACTGTCTCCGCTTTTCGATCAGGCATCGGGAATGCCTCCGCAAACTGTGTCAGGTGGTCCACAAAGACGAGAATGTACTTATTACCGGCCATGGAGACAGGCATCGGGCCAACAATGTCCATCGCGGTGCGTTCAAACGGATTGGTGAGTTGCCCAAACTCCTGGTAGGGAGCCAGTCTCCGGCTTTTTGACATCTCCCACAAACTGCACGACCGGCAAGCCCTGCAGCAGTCCACAATGTCCCGTCTCATGCCCCGCCAAAAGTAGTGTGTCGCTACTCTTTGCCTCGTTTTCTTGGCGCCGGGGTGACCAGCACAAGGAGTGTGTTTGGGCACTGTCCCCCCATTGGATCGATCACTCTGTTAATTCATTGCTCAGCTGCGAGGTGACTGTCGCATCTAGAAAGTCACAAAGTAAAACAAACACCTTCAAACATTGCAGACCACATAAAAGAAAACTGCAATTCAGCACAATAGCTGCTTTGGGCTTAGTCCCCCAGTGGACTACGCCTTTGTTGCCTTTTTGTACTGATGAGGTCTTGTCATCAGGATCACTTGGTAGGTAGCTCACCCTTTACCGCCCGCCGGTAGAGGAAACAGACCCTGAAAAGGGCAGTTTTAGTACTGGCGGTACGCAGAGGCAGCGTCTTTGATGGCCAAGCAAACTCTGGTGTCTGGGACAAAGAGACCGCGGGGGGTGGCAATGAATCTGGCGCACTCGTTGCTCCTCTGAGCAGTAGGTGGACTGCATGGCAGCTCCGGCAAACCCCTCCACGACTCTTTTGCTCGTGGTGGGAGAGCTTCTTGAACTACGGGTTTAAGACCAGAGAAACCTCCAGTTAGTAGAAGAGGTACGCGCACATCATCAACTTTGAGTAATCCTGGTCCTAGGCTGGTATAAGGCTTGGGAAGCCTGCACACATCAGGCAGCGGGGTTAGTTGGGCACGGCGCTGGTCATCGTCATGTAGGAGACTGGGCCCAAGGTCATCAAGCTGGCAAAGTCCATAGCCACGCTGGGGAAGACAGCCACCATCCGGTGGAAGGTGGCCACTAAGGGCTCTCCGGTGGTGCTGATTGATTGATTTTGGGTTTTAATGGCGCAGCATCGGTGGTGCTGACGATCCCGTAGGTGTCAATTAGCATGTTGACTGCCTTCAGGCCCTCAGCTGAGAGACCCTTGTGGATCTTCTCCACCTTTGAGGGGAGGCGCACGAGAAAAGGTGCCAGGAAGCACACTGCAGAGCGCGCGGGAAAAAGAGTGCACAAGACAAAGACCGGTGTCAGCGCCCCAAGCTCCCGAGCCCTCCGAACCCCAAACCACACCCAGGGCAAGGCCACCCGCTGGCACCAACGATCCCAGCTCCCGAGCCCAGTGAGCCCCGCAGCAACATCGCCCAGGCACCGCCAGGGAGGGATAGCCCGGGACACTACCTCCAGAACTCCTAGATGCTCGGTGAGCTGCAGGCGGCACCAGCACCTACTTCCAGCACTATTATTAAACTGTAATCGGAGATATTGTTTTTGCCTCGTTTCTCCCCACCTCACAGTGGGCCCACCACAGCACGTCTGGGCCTCCCCTACGGGGGTCGTCACAAGTGGTGGCAGTGGTGGGATCCACTAATTTAAATCGCTGAGGCGTTGGTGAGACTTTTCTGCCCGCACCCGAGAGAAGAGGCGAGACAATGACTCATACCCCATTCACACGTGCGGTATAAAGGTACCTTTAGCATAGGTCCCTATTCTAAAGGGAGATGGAGTTCGTAATCACACGGCGCACAAAGGTCCCTTTCGCTAAAGGAGCCTTAAGAATAAACGGAGCTCGCAGACCTCCCTTTACAGCTACAGGGAGTAGCCTCGGACCCAGGAACTCCAATAAAAAAAGTCTAGCATATACGCTTCTGCTTCGTTTATGGCACTTCAATAAAAGAATATTTGCAAGGCAAAAATTATAAAGTAAACGTGAGCACAAACCTGATGAAAGATGGTAGTACCAAATTTATACTCGCGATAGCGGGCAGCAGCGGTGGCACGAACGCAATGGCGGCTGTACCCGCTTTTCGTGCTCCGAGTAGCGACGAGTAGTCGTCCGCTTCGCCTGCCCAGAGCATTTTTGTGACCATGATTTCGCCTGGTGGACCAGTGAACTTGGGTGCAAGCACTAGCGGCACCAGTGGGAAAGGCCCTCGAGTTCACTGGTCCGAGGCGGAAACATGGTCACTAATCCGACTCTGGGAGGACAACATCGGCGAACTCCGGCGTCAAAGGAGGAACGCCGGAGTTTACGAGACCATACGCCTCGGTCTGGAGAGGCTGTCCATCGACAAGACACGGAAACAAGTGAGCGATAAGATCGACAACCTCAACCAGACATACAGGTAAGCCAGTTTTGAGGTTGCTGCTCACCTGTGCCCTCTCGCCGACTCTCGGAGCCCGCTCGCCGAGCTTAAACTTGACGAAATGCGGTATTTGATGTCGCTGCGACAAATAGTAAGTAAATTAATCGTTTTGATCAGCACGACCTAATTTAGCGGTAATGTTCGAGTGTGTCGCCTCAGTGTCGACGAGGCAAAATGCTGACCTATGGGTCCCCAGTGGTGGGTTAAAATCTCGGCCGAGGTGTCAACCTTTGGACGCGGAAGGCTCTTGCCTTCACCTCAACAGATCCCCAGCTTTTAGTCCTGCTCTTGGATGTATCATATGTCCTTCGTGGGTTTGGCACGCAGGCCCTGAGAAATAACGTTTTTTTACTATTTCCATTGACAATCCCTGAAACAGAACACACACACACACAAAAAAGGCAATTCACAGAACGTGACAAGGGCTCTTGGTTCACCTGTTCCAATTCTAGTTGCAGCCAAAATACATTGCCAACCCCCTTGGTTAAGACTGAATTTTCCACAAAATATTTCGGTCCACGTTTGTGTATGGCTGGATTCACAGTGGAAAAAAGGAAATGCAGGTGAAACATTGTACCCAGGTGACAGCAAGCCCCATTCAAATGCTTAATACGTAGGAACACTTTTTATATATATATATATATTTCTTGTTTACAGGACGAAGAAAAAAAACCAGACAACTGGATCTGGGAAGGTGACCTGGCCCTACTTTTATGATCTGCATAGATTCCTTGGGGGCCTGCCGGTGAACGACCCAAGCTTAGTGGACGACTCACTACCTGGAGATGCTTTGCAGGTATTGCAGTGATCTCATATGCTTTAAAAAAAAATGGCTCACAATTTTTTTACCCGTTTTGGTTTCAGGTGGGCTCTCTGTTGAATATTAAGGGCCCAAGAAAAGATTTTCTCTTTCATTAAATAATACTAAGAAATAATGACGTTCATAACGTGCATTAATTTCTTCCTACATGCAAAAAAATACACGAGCAGCCTTCGCCTATTCAACTCGCAGCCAGAATAAGTGACTACATGACCTGGCTGGCGTTTATATGCCGCCAATGTTTATCATAGCCACGCACTGGGGTTGGCAAAGCACAGGGCATGTGCTGAGCTCCAGACGTTGTTAGAGTTTGACTGCTTTCATCATTCTTGGATTGAAAACGAGTCGCTGCCCAGTGCTTGCTGAGGCTTTCATTGTTACAAGCTTAGGTTGAGTTGTCTCCAATCGTCATCACGAGGTGCACCCCGAGGGTACATCCAAATTGTGGTTCCCACGACACATCGTCAAGCTTTTCAAAGCAGACTGAAAAAATTGTCCGCTTTTATTCTTGGAATTGCTACATAACAACACAATTTCAGGAGTCATGACTTGTCATTCGAGTATCCTTAGGTCATGCTAGGGACAGTATAATAATAATAATAATCCTTTATTTGTATAATGCCCCAGAACAACCTATTGGTTACAGTGTGGTGGCACATAAAAAGTTTAAAAAGAGAAAAAAAAAAGAACACCTAAAACAGTACACAATCTCAAGCCCCCCCCCCCCCCCCCCCCCGACATATGCTCTCGAAATTAAAACATTTCACAATCATAAACCAAAAATATGCATATCAAGTAGTCGTTAGAACGCAGCAAAATTTAAAAATATGTCTACATGAGTCGGAAAGTCATTTAAACAAATTTGCATTCTAGCCAAAGGGGACGGTCTCGTTTGGATAGATCTATAAAACACGCTTGAGTTTCTAACGACTCCGGCCGGTACATGAAAGTTCAAAGACGATACAAGATTGCTATCAATTTGGCCGTGAACCACTTCGTATAAAAATATAATGTCACGAGCAATCCTTCTTTTTGAAAGGTTCTGGAGTGAAAGTTCTTTAAGGCGAGACGCGGGTCTTAAAATGGTAAAAAATCGCGAAATTTGGGGCTTTTCAAAAATCACATGTTTGGATAGAATATAGTCTGAAGTACCTGCCTGCAAAGTTTCAATGTCCTATTCGACGTCTAAGTATAAAAAAAACGATAAATATGATGCCTCCGCGACGCTCAAATCGCGAATCCAACGCAAAAAAATAGTCAAACTGCGCGCCCGCGTCGCTTCACGACCGATTGTTGGATCGCGGCCATCTTGGTCTTGTTGGGGAGCTGGTTCTCTTCCCTACGTCCTCATCCCACTCACTATCGCGACAACCTTGGAAAGCGTCCGCATTCCGCGGGTTTTCACGACCGGAATAACGATTGCTCATTGGCCCGCGCGCGTACGTCACGGGTACGTCGTGCCGCGCGCGCCTGTCATAGGCCAAGACGCGCCCCTTTCCACTTTTGCTCCTTTCCTCCTCTTGGCGCGCGCGCCTCCAGCAGCGCAAGGGGAGCGTGGAGAAGCGTCGTCTGCTTCGTTTTGGCCCGTCGCTTTGTTCGTTCCGTGGCTGAGTGCACGTTGTTTCGAAATCGTTTACGTTCGCGCGTTCGCGTCGGACATCGTTGGTTTCTCGCTACGAAGTTGCGGGAGTTTTATTTCGAGCGATCGAGATGCCGGGGGACTCTCGATTGAAAGAGAGTACGCGGCGGACGTTCGGGAGGAAGACGCGACGTGCGTGGAACAAGCGGAAGACATCACCTGCAAGTGCGCCGCTACGATCTGCGCCACTGCCGAACGCATTGGATCTGCCGGGACCATCGGCTAGCCTTCCCGTTGACGATGCTGCGGCCTCAAGCTCTGGTCCGGATGGCTCAAGTTTTGCCGGCACCACTCGCGTCGACTCTACCTACTACTCTACGGCCGAGCAAGCGCAGCGCGCCGAGCGATCGGAGCAAAGCAAGCGCGTTTTATCGGAGAAGTCGGCGACCCAGCGGAAGTTCGATCTGCTTGAAGTCAACGGATCATGCCGAACAAGCGATGCCGGGACCCAGTTTGTCATCGTCGACATGAAAGTCCTCAACGACCTCTTCGCGCACGCGAGGTGTGGAAGCTGCGGTGTGGGATCTCTCACGCTCAGCAAGGCCGCGGACAAGGAGTACGGCTTGGCCGTCAAGCTTGTGCTCGTCTGCAGCACTTGCGACTTCCAGAAGAAGCAGTTCTCCTCTCCCAGGGTTGCTGGAACAGCAAAGATCACTCCCTTTGAAGTGAACATGAGGGCCATGAAGGGGATCCAATCCATTGGCAAAGGAGTGACAGCCTTGGCAGACTTCTGTGCCTCCATGAACATTTCCCATCGGGGCCTGCACCACAAGACGTACCAGGGACACCTGAAAACGCTTGTGCGGGCATGTGAGAATGCAGCAACCGACAGTGAAGCCGCCAGTGTTGCTGTCGTCAAGGGGCTCTACACAGGCTTTATGAACCCCATTGGCAACATCGATGTCATCTTCGACGGATCATGGATGACCCGAGGACGCAGCTCCCACATTGGTGTAGGCTGCATTGTGGAGTTGTACTCTGGCCTCGTCATCGACCATGTCGTGTACTCCAACTTCTGCCTTGGATGTGCCTTGGGACCGGAGCCCGAGGACGATGGCTACAGCGACTGGTATGCAACCCACGACTGCCAGAGGAACATTGACTGCAATGCTGGCCGTATGGAAGTGGAGGCTGCGCTCACAATGTTCCAGAGGTCTCTGACCAAGCATGGTCTCCGCTACACCACCGTCCTTTCGGATGGGGACAGCCGGACATTCCATGCCTTGTCTGAAGCGAAGGTTTACGGCTTCATCAAGATAGAGAAGAAGGACTGCGTGAACCACGTCCACAAGCGGATGGGAGCTGCCCTGCGCAACGTTGTTGAGAAGAAGGCACAAGGCGAGTCACTTGGTGGGAGAGGAAAGCTGACACAGGAAAAGATCAAGAAGATCACTAACTATTACGGCTATGCTCTCAGGAGCAACAGCCATGACGTTCCAGGGATGAAGAGGGCGGTGGAAGCCACACTCCTGCACATGACCTCCACAGACGGCGCCCCAGACCACAGCAAGTGCCCCGAGGGAGCGGAGTCCTGGTGCAAGTACAACAGGGCCTTGGCAAACAGTGAGCCTCCGCCGCCGCACAAGAATCCTCTTCCGGATTGTGTTCGGGCTGCACTGGAGCCAGTGTTTGAAAGGCTCAGCAATGAAGACCTGTTGGCACGGTGTAGTGAGGGAAAGACGCAGAATGCCAGTGAGAGCCTGCATTCGGTGATCTGGACGCAGACTTCAAAGAATGCGAATGCCTCCCTGGACAGCGTGAAGAGGGCTGCGGCTGAAGCTGTTGCTGTCTACAACCAGGGAAGGAGAGCGACCAACGAGTCCATTGCTGCAGGCCTGGGCTACGCCACCGGTGACTGCCTTGTCCGCCGAAGCATCGAAAAGGACAGTCTCCGTTTACGTAAAGCAAACGCGGTGCACCAGAGCAGCAGTAGCGTGAAGGAAAGATTCTCCAAGCGACACCAGGCAGGAGCATCACGAGATTACAGCCCAGGACAGCTGTAATGGCTTTTTCCAGTGCCATGTGGAACAAAGGCCCTTTTCAGGGCCAAACAAAATTACGTTTGGAGCTTGAAACTCTTGCTCGCCTCTCCCGTTGTCCAAAGTTGTCGGCTCATCACTTTAGAAGCAATTTTATCCTATATCAGTAATTCTTCACCATTTTTGCAATCTTCTCAAAAACAAATTATTGCAATTTTTAAAATTATTTGTTCAGAATGCACTACACTACATCTTGATAACTATTATTGCATAAGGGTTTTCACATAATTTATTGTAGTCAGCGTCGAAACAGGAAAATGTGATTTTATCAACATTTCACTCGTTCTTTACTTCTTTCATATTTTTTTCCTAATGTTCCCATAAATGGATTACATCATCTTTTATGTCAAGTTGTTCATGAAGACTTACACTACACCTTGGTGGCAATTATTATTTATCATTGTTCACACAATTTTCTATGTTCAATGTCAAAACTTTAACTTTGATTTTCTCACCTTCATGTTTTTTGTCAACGTGCTTAGCCTTACGGGGGTTTTCATGAGGTTTTTATCGTAGCATTTTGAAACTTTTTATACCGTTTTATTCAGAAAGGACTGGACTGTGGAGTAAAGCTATTTTTTTGCAGTTTATAATGACAACGAAAATTTTATGATAAATAATGCGACCTCATTAGTGTCATAATTAGCATAATTAGTACATTTTTGTATTATAATGTAATTTTGTGAAAATATAAATAGCTTTATAATGCATGGCAGACCTTTAGCTATGCATCTACATCAATAAAAAAAAATATTTTTGTTCGAAATGGCCTTAACGACCCGTAAGAAATTAACCAAATTAGGCAACACTATTTTTTATAACTTGAAAACTAATTGAGATATTTCGAAACTGATTTCATATTTGAATTGGGGAAGAAGGAACACATATGCACAGTGATTTTCATTAGTATAGCTGCAAAAATAAAATAGTCCATTTTAGAACCAGTGTCTCGCCTTAAGAAGGTATTCATAATCAAAATAACATTTTCTATCAAAATATCTATCGTAAACAAGGCGTATAAATCGCTTCTGAACTCTTTCTATCCGTGCAGCGTCGGTCGTTGTTAGCGAATTCCACACTGAACTACAAAGCTCAAGTTTAACTCGTACAAGGGAACAAAACAATCGAACTACGCACATTACATTTGAAAAATCATGCGTCAAACGTGATATCATCCCCATTGTTCTAAAGGCAGAAGCAACAATTTGTGTAACATGATATGAAAAGGTAAGATTATTAAGGTAAGATTAGTATTCTTGCACAAAGTGAAAAACGTTCAAACCAAATATCGTTGCATAATCCTCTTTAAGTTATGCATGTATCTTTAGGTCATGGGCCCTTCTGATGAGCACTCATTGGTTTTTATCAGGAACCTGAAGACATCTCTCCTGAGGAGTCACAGGAGACGGTGGATCCTCCTGAAGAACTTGCAGTGGAACCACAACAGAAAAAAAAAAAAAAGTCTTCCTGCAAACAGGCAGACCTCGTCATGTTGGTCCTCGAGGAGCAGAGGGCGCAGAGACAAGAACTTCGAGAAGCGAGGGAAAGAACTCACAGGGACCGGCAGCGCCAGTTTGCGATCATGCAGGAATCGAATGACCTGCAGCGAGAGTTTCTCCAGTTCCTAAAATCGAAAGCTCAAAAGTAAAAAAGTAAATGCTAAGAAATAGCCTCCTTTGTATTTGAGTTTGGGTTCCAAGCATTGGCATGCAATGCTTGCTTTGATCGTTGTTCGGCCTTAAGGGGGGACGCGGGCTTTGAAAACCGGAAAATCGCGAAAAAGTCGATTTTTAGAAAACCTTACTTTTCGGTTCTATATGTCATAAACTACCTTCTCTGTAATTATCAGCACCAAATACAACGGGGAAATATTTAAAAACAATTATTTACGAGGCCTGAATAGCATCCAAGTGACGGTCAAACGTCAAAATCAACCCCAACTTCGCGCGCTCGCCATTTTCGACGCGTTGGGCCGACGGCCGCCATCTTAGTCTTGTTTTGAACGTGAATTCTTTCTCTTTTTTTTGCCAGCTCCCAAAATGGCGTCGGCTGCGTAGTCACGGCGTGGTCGCCGTTCTTCCATGTCGCAATCGCAAGAACGCGATTGGACAGAGCGCGCGCTCGAGGAGCGTGCGGGGGAACGCGCGACTGCTATTGGCTGGGACGCGATTTCTCCGCGCGCGGAGCGCTCTCCTTCTCCGTTTCTCCTGCTGTTGCCGCTTGCGTCGTCTGCTTTTGGTAGTGGTCTGCTTGCACGCGCTCTTGCTTTGTCAGCTCCACTTCGTTTTTCGCCATCTTTACGATCGTTTTCCGAACTTTCTTTGAGTAGTTTCGTGTAGCGTGCCCGTCTGTTTCGTGGTCGCACACGATGCGGGGTTTGAAGTACAAGACGGTGCACGCGTTTGGCGCGCGGAAGCGGTCCATGAAGTTAGTGCGGATGGCGAAGTTGGAAGTTTCTGCACGGCGTGCCGTCAATGATGATCGCGTCAACACTTTCAGTGATTGATTTTCTGTGCCATCGGCTGTCGTCGAGGAAGAACGCATCGTCCCGCTCACGCCTGGAGTACCGAGCATGCCGACCGTTGTGGTTCCTCCCGAGATCGCGGGTCCCAGCGCCCGTCTTCCGCCTGCCGCGACAAGTAGGAGCGCGTCTTCTAGCACCCAACTGCGGACGCATTTCCTGACACGTGAGGAGATCGAAGCAGAAGCTAGACATTGTGATATTGCTCAAGCCGAACTTGGAGCTATGCCAGCAAACTGCACTGCATGAAGCGGTGTTGAGGTTCAACGCCGGCTGCTACAAGGCAACTGCAGAAATATCGGTTGCAGCGGGACTTCAGCCGACCCATCTGGCCCTCCAACGAGCTGTCGAGAAAGATGCCCTACGTCTGCATAAGGCCAGCAAACGACATCAAGAGAATTTGGAAAGGCGGAACAAGAAGAAAGGGCGCAAGAACACTTCTGACTATTCTGCAGGGTCATTCTAAAGCTGAAAATCTGCGTGCAACTTTCAAGTGCTGTTTTCTCAGAATGGATTTTTTCACTGTCGTGGCTGCTTGTCCCAGCGATATCTCAGGAACTGATGAATGGATTTTTGTGCTGTCTTTTTTATTCTGTTCTCTAAAAACTTTGTGAGGGCATAACAGAGCCCTTTTTTTTAGAAAACTGTACTAAAAATTTATAATAAAAAAATGAAATTTGGTGAATGTGGGTTTCATTGACTACACAAAATTCAAAGTTGCGTTAAAATTTTTCAACAATGAAATTTAAAAAAAGGGCTCTGTTATGCCCTGGGGAATGTATCCAGGGGTCATCATAACAAATATTACGCCGCTACTACCTTTTTCAAATTCTCCAGACCTGGGATAAGGAATGCATATGGACGATTTTGATAAATATTTGTAACTTGAGAAATAATATGCACAGCTCTATGAAACTTTGCAGTTACTCTTATGTCTGTGCTATAAACACATTCTGTAAATTTCGTTCAGATATCTCTAGAAATAAGAAATTTCATATTTATTCCCCACCTCCTCCCTTAAACCCAATTGCAGACGTTTTGATCAAGGCGGGACAAACACAAATTGTTTGGGATAAACGTCAGACCCACTAGTATTTTCTAAAGGTTCGAGTGAGTTGATGATGAAATGTGGGTACAATACTATTAAACTAAAGATGTGCATCACATGCGACTACACCAAAATTCAGTAAAATACCTTTCTTTCAAAGAGACACATCAATATCGGCAATCATGGTAGAAAAAAAAGATTGGTTCCTTGCTTATTACTACACCTGTGGAGAATTAGGACACTTGTTTGTAGGGATGTCGTGAACCTGACAAGGTTCAGCTTTCTTGAACTTTCTATGCAAAGTTCGACTGAGGTGAAACATCCTAAATGCAAGCACAGTTTGCCTGCCAGGGAAAGGTCAACGCTGAACAAATTACAGTGCCTCTGCTGAAGCTTGGTTGCGCTTGGGGGGTGGGTTAGCACCAAAATAGGCAACAAGTGCAGTGCGCACCGCAGTGCCACTGTCCGTTTTGGCCTTGGTTTTGCGGCTCGGCTGCTCCAGCTTGTCATCCTCCTCCACTTTCCGGGCGTCCTGGATCCACTGCTTGTCCGCACTGTCGTTGAGCGTCTCGCAGACGTTGTGCAGTATGCAGCACGCTCGGACGACGGCGTTGACATTGTCGATGCGAACCTCCATTTGCTTGAGGACGATTCTGAAGCGAGCTTTCAAACGCCCAAACGCATTCTCCACAACACGCCTGGCCTTGGAGAGGGCGTAGTTGAAGTCGCCTTCGTCCTGAGGGTGATTTAAACTGTGGGGGAAGGGCTTCATCAGGTTCCTGGTGAGGGGGAATGCCTGATCACACAGGACGATAGGTGGTATTTCTGTGCCACCAATGGTTCTTGGCACAGCCACCTGGTAGTCCTCGAGCAGACGCCCCAACGGGGATCGCCCATACACATTGGCATCGTGGCACTTGCCAGGGGAGCCCACGCTGATGTACCGAAAAAGGTACCTGTGGTCCACCAATGCCAACAGGATGACGCTGTACCTAAAACAAAGTGACCACATGTGAGCAAGGAACAGCAGCAGTACTGCATGCAACAGATCTAGCTAAATTGTGTGCTCCTGAAATTGCAACTTTTTGTTCAAGAGAGCCTCTCAAGCACAGGCAGCGAAATTGACACAGCCATCATGGGTGCCCTACACCCACGGGCAACTTTCTGTGGCTATTAAGTCTATTGTAAGGAGAGGGTGCGTTCATCATTTCGCACATGCTTTCCTCCTCCCTTCGTTTCAACACACAAAGTTGTCCGCGAGTGTAGTGACATCATGTCTGTAATGCTGAAGAAAACGAGAATGGTCCCTGGTGTGACTGAACCAGCGTATATTTTTGGTTTATCCGTATGTTTGAGGCACGAATTATTAAAATTGCTTAGTTTTTCCAAGGACCAAATTGCACTGAACGGCCCAGCATTGCTCGCGCGAAAGCATTCATAACCCCGTAATTTTATATGAAATGAGCAAAGTTACCCCGAGAAAACGAGTGTCACTGTTTGCTCACCAGCCTTTGTAAATGCGGTAGTCGACAGCCGAGTCTTTCGGCGGCGACACGGGCAGGTGGCAGCCGTCAAGAGCACCGATGGCGTTGGGGAATCCCAGGACTGCCTGGAATTCGCGCATGTGGTGCTCGAGGTCCTCGTTCCTAACCATCGAAACCGTTCGGGCCTCCAGTTCCTGAATTACAACGTCGCAGAACTCGCGGTAGCTCTCGTTTACCACCGATTGTCCCACAGCGAAAAGGTGGCCGATTGTCCGTTCCTCCGCCGTGGAGCAGAGCCTGTACAGGCTTATGGCTACTCTTTTTTCCACTGTGATCGCAGTTTTCATGGCTGTGTCTTGCCGTTGCATCGACGAGCGGCAGACGTCCACGAGGTACCGGAAGGTGGTTGAGGACACACGAAAGCAGGCACGAAAGTGTTGTTCGCCCAGCCTAGGCAGCGTCTCCTCAAACCACCTCCCCGACCGAACGTACATTGCCCTCTCGCGAAGGATCCTCGTGAACCGTTGAGCCAAAAGAGCGGCGACAGTGAAGTTCGTCGCCACAAGCTGCTCCTCGAGTTCGTCCGCTGCCTCTTCGGTGGCTTGAATGCTTTCCTCAAGCTGATTAAATTCGATCCGCCGCTGATGCAGCGACCACAAAATGCCCATGCAATCGTCATCGTCCATCGCAAGACGCTCGTCGCCGTCAGTCACTTCCATCACTACGGCGCGATGCTTCACGGAGAGTTTTCGATCACCGGACCACGTTTCGCACCTGCAACTCGACCACTCGACCTGCCTCGACCGCGTACCTCTTTTGGATTTGGATTCGATAACAGCTAGACATTCTAAAGAAATGATTTTTTACCTCCACCATGCAATAAAATTAAAACAAAATTATTAATTGGTTTTAAAACGATATATTCTGCTTCTAATAAAGTAATGCATGTGTCTCAAACCTGTTTAGACAAAATATTATATATTGCTCGTTCGCCCCTCGGTTTAGCCTGGCTATCCCCGGTGCAGTAAACATCAACCTTAAACCCTCCGTTTATTTGCCGTGTGATCACGAACGCCGTTTAATACAGGTACCTTTAGCTAAGGGACCTAAGCTACAGGTCCTTTAGCAGCCCGTGTGAATGGGGTATCAGACATGTTGGCACTGGGGGTATGGTTCCTTCGTTCATGGGCGATGAAACCACAGTGTTCATCAGAGATTTCTTCCGAATTTTGGAACAAGTAGGTAGCATGAGCTGGCAAGATAGCCAGCTCATTGGAATTGCTCGCTCTAAGATGGTCGGGGCCGCGTACGCCTTCACATGGCACGACGAGAGTGTTGCTGCCATCACAACCTTTACGGCGTTTAAAGGGGTACTCCGCCGATTTTTGAGCTACCTCAACTAACTATATTTTCTGACACCCGGCCTTTACCCTTTCTGGTATGTTATTTAGTATCATGAAATTCATAATAGTTATTGCGAAATGGGCAAATGAAAATGATGCAAAAACAAACATTCAAATATACCCACCCTTTTCAGGGCCGTGACGTCAGTGGAAGGTTAAGCTTGCCAGTCGGGCAAGCAGTCTAAAAAATAGAATATGCCAATCATTTGTTCTGTGCTGGAGTGCGGGGACTGGAGCGAGCTTCCAAAGCATTCATTTGACTCCATGAAACTGCTTCGAATCAGTTGGGAACAAATTCTACAGTCCAAAGAGTGAACCCCAGCACTTCCACTGACGTCACTTTTTCATTGTTGCCAGTAGAGACTTTCAGTTTGAAAAACACGGTGAGGACCAAAATTGTAAATTCAATAACTTCGTGAAAAAAAATTATTTTGACCTAATATTTGGGATACTATTTTGGCGATGTTGTTTGGCGAGTTTAGCAAAATTTCAAGCAAATCGGGGACCATGAAGAAATCGGCGGAGTACCCCTTTAAGGCCTTGGCTCTTGAACGTTTTGACACTGAGCCCCAGAATCTGAAACTTCCAAAATTCTTAACAGCGAAACAGAATGTTGGGGAGAATGTGCGGGTGTCTGCTGGGCGACTGAGTGCGTTGAGAAATGCTACCCTGGGAAAACACGCATCAGAGGGCGCCGCTGAAAAACGGGCAATGAGGAAGCAGCTGCTTCAAGAACAGATGCCATCTCAGTTTGTCGGGGGCCTAAGAGACCCTGTTAGGAGGTTTACTCTGTCACGAAACCTGGTGACGTTTGGCGAAGCAGTGTAAGTCGCGGCAAAAGAAGAGCGGCACGAACATGTCGTGAACGGGGGCGCAGAGCTTGTTGTACGACGAGTTTGGGCGTCTGACCAGGTTGTAGATGAACTGCACGAGCGATTAGACCACCTTGAGAGGCTTATGAAGCGCAGCTTATCTCTCAGCGTCGCCGCTGAGGCAAATCGAGCGAACATACTGCCAATTGAGTCCCAAAGAGGCAAAGGGAACTGTTGTTTGCGGGACGCCTGGCCACTTCGCCCGACCATGCCCCAACCGCCAGTATGACGAACAAGTCGATCGGCGTAACTCCATGGAGAAGGACCGTGGGGAGGGGCCTCAACGTTTGCGGGGAAACGAGCCAAACTGATGAATGCGAAATCGGGGGGACCAAGGTTCACTGCCTCCTCGACAATGGATCGAATATAAGCCCAGTAAAAAAAAGCATACTGGATGCTATTGTGAACGACTGGCAAAATGTTCTCCCTAGGCAAAACAAAGGGGGCAAGCTCGTGGGGATCACAGGAGACGAGCGTGGCACCATTGGATGCTTCGAGGTTCCGTTCACACTGGGTGGGCTCGAGATTAGACCTGCACGGTTCGTTTGTACGAACAGGCTTATGCTACCTGTTGCGGGAATTTTCGGTCAAGACGTCCTCCGCGGTGAGGACATCGATTTGCTCCTCAGCGAGGGTGTTTTGCACATCGGCAAATCAAGGATGAACATCATCAATTCGTCCCCACGGACAGACAGTGGCGTTCAGCCAGACTACACAAGGGGGGAGACACCTATGTAGCGGTGACTCTCTTGAGACAGTGTGTGCTGCCGCCTTTGAGCGAATGTCTTCTTGAGGGAAGGTTAAGTACCGTCAGCGTACCAGGGAGACCCGCGGTACTCGAAATACACGACCTCGGGGTGAATGGCGTATCGGGAGCTCACGCGCTGGTCAGGACGAGGAGTGACGGGATGGTCCCAGTGCAGCTTGTGAACGTCATGGGCCAGGAATTACACCTCACTCGGAACAAGGTCGTGGGAACTCTCGTGGAAGCGGAGGAGGTAACTTCCACAATGCTTGAAGCGGGGGAGTGCAATTGGGCAGATGAGATGAACCTCTTGAGCCAATTTGATTTTGTTCATATTACAATCGAAGAAAGAAACCGACTCCTGGAGCTCATCGACGAGTACCGGGATGCGCTCTTTAGAGCAGACATCGGTCGTTGTGAGGCCGTGAGACATCAAATCTCGACGGCGGGGGCTGCGCCAGTCTACAGCAGAGCCCCTACCGGATCCCATACTCTAAAAGAGAGGAGATGGAGAGGCAAGTGGACGAGCTGCTCAATAAAGGCATTATCGAAAATTCCGCGCCTCCCTTTCCTCGAGGAAAAGCCCGATGCTTCCTATCGTTTTGTGGTAGACTACTGCGACCTCAACAAGGTTACGCGCGTGGACCCTTACCCCTTGCTTCTGTACTGCAAAACATTCTCTTGGTATATTTCAGTGCTTCATAAACCCCAGAGAAGTGTGCATGAATTTGGCAGTTGTAGACAGCTTCAAATATTTGCCACTAACACTTTTGGTAAAGTGAGAATGTGGTAACACAAAAATATGCTGTAGTACATCATATTTCACGTTCTACCATTAACAGAATTAAGGAACTGCACATAAGCTATATGAACTGCATGCCAAAATTGTCTTTGGTATGCCTCCTGGATCACAATTCATATTGAAAGGTATGCCAGAAATCTGTAATTCTCTTGCATGCTTCATATTTTAGGAATCAAGGGGGCCCCTCCTGACACCGCTTTTGCACCAAGATGAACCCAAGCAGGAGACGAGGCCCATACAAGAGGTACTAGACGGATGGAAAACTGCCGGTAAGCCAACTTCACAGTTTACTCATAATGGTGCCAAGCTAGTCCTCGGTGCAAAACGCTACGCCATACAGATGAAATGAACAAGTTACTTACAGATTTGTTGTCTGGTCTATAGACCTTTAGAACAACCTTGTAATTTGATTTTACAATTGCAACAGTTCCTGACGAGTTAATCAACTGAAGAAAATTTCGGTGATTTCTAGCTACAAACACACCGGAACTTAACAGTTCTGTTGCCCCGTTTCCTTTAACAATATCTTGTCATTGGCTGTACCAAGAGCACCATGTGCTTCATTTTTGTCTTGCATGGATAACTGTCTCGGGTGGCTGCACTCCTCAATTAAATTATTTTGGGGAATTACATTGTCTGAGGTGTTTAGACAACTCTACTCAACAGAGCCTGATTTTCTGCAAAGTTCTAGATCATCATCATGAAGAAAATATCTCCAATGTTTTTTATTGAAGATGAAGACAAAGGAAAGAAAGTCAATTTCTAAATCCCACCTGCAGCAAGGTCAAAGGCTTATCCTTCGGAGTATTTTGCCAATAACGGAGGGAAAAAGCCCCAAGTCACACTACCAAAAGACTCCTTGACCATGGATCAGCTGAGGGTCTCAGTCACAGCAGGTATACATCTCGCCAACACTCCAGTGGACAAGCTTGTTCATCAAGCCCCCCTGCTTCATGTTCCAAGAGCAAGATTGGCAAGTTCAACTGCGCCAACTCAGACACTGAGGACAGTTCAGCAGAGGACGGCGGTACAGTTACTTCCGAATACCGTCACCCTGATCAGTGTCTGCTGTAGGAAGGCAGCCGTTTCACCAACACCGAGGCTTGTCTAATTCTCGTAATATTTTTTTAAGTTTCGACTAACGAGGAAATGTTTGGGCCAAATCCTCTCCGGTTTCTCGGCAATGCTAGTCTTCTAACACACTTCCAGACACAACAATTTTTTAAGCTCCTCTCACAATTCCAGAGGGGAAAAGGAGTTTGTAACCACTTTTATTGTCTTAACTGTGAAACATACCCAGCCGAGGAAGCGACCGTCTGTCCAACTTGTGATCAGGCCTGCTGGAGCGAGGGAACTTTTAAACAAACGAGTTCAGCCGACACACTAGGATCATTTCTTGAAGACAACAGAATATACGCCTACTTCCGCAAAACCTCCGGCAGTACAAGTGACAAGCCAGTTAAGGATATTGTCGACAGCTTTAGATATCAAGAACAGCCTGCTCATTCGTCCAGATTCAACTTCTCACTCCTGCAGAACATTGATGTTGTGCAGGTGTTCAAAAGCTCAACCAAATCACTCTGGCCAGTTCATTGTATCATCCCTGAGCTACCGCCACTAGTCCGAAAAATATTCCAAATTTTGACGTTCCTGTGGTTTGGTGTGAAGCTGATAAACATATTTGCGAAGCATTTTGTCCTAGAAGTGATGGAGCTTGCCCCTAACAGACTAACATGGCGACATCCCGAGACGGGAAGGAGCTTATGTTCATACATAACAGCCCCCGTCTCATCCACCGAAGCAGTTACACGACCAATGCTCCAAGTCATCAAGCAGTTAAAGGGTTTGTATGGGTGCTCCTTTTGTTTCAATATTACGGCAAATTCTGTAGTGTCTA